ACTTACGTTTTAACAGGTCTGACNCATCATCATCACCATCATCATCATCATCAGGTTGAAGGAAGTGCTGCTGTGACTCATTTAGAGTAAAAACAAAAAGAGGTTTGAACTGAAACAATTACACAATGACCCACCGCAGCATGACAAGCTCTCTGCTGCTGACATCATCGTTCCACATCAGCAGAGACCCAAACGTGTCAAAGATTTAAGGACGGGTCGTTAATGAGCATCCGGCGCTCTGTGACTCAGTCACACGGGTTATTTTTATCAGACGAGGGTTTGTGAAGCAGAATAATACAAATTAATATCTGCTGCCGTTAAAACGTTTAAAACACTTTCATTTATTATCAGTGTGGAAAGTAACAGAGTACTTTTACTCAAGTACTGTAACTTTCTCCTCCTCTTCCTCCACCTCTGAGGTGAATCCTGGACTTTTTACTCTGTGTTAGAAACAATGAAATGACTCTACTGACAGATAACAGCTTATAGACGACTCTTTTTTTTTACATGGGACTCTTTGGACTTTTGTCCATGGATACTTTTTTCTTCAGTGGTGTGATTGGTCAGAGGTCGGTGTGTTGACAGGCTGTGATCAGGTTAGCTGTTCAGCATCAGGGAAGAAGTTCATCAGTGGGGACTTTCTCCAAACGGAGCCGAGGTGAGTCACACTGAATTTATACTAAAGCAATCGCACAATTACCCAGAACACACGACGAAGGAATCGGAGCACTGAGTCACAGTTTGCTGTTTCTCAACTGATTTTATTTTATTTAAATGTTGAGTTTAATGTTAAAGTTGTTTTAAAGGGTCTCACTCTGTCTGTTCTTCTTCTGTGGCTGCAGAAACTGAAGCTTCCTCCCATGATCACGTGACCAGAGGAAATGTTGTAACCTAGACGAGACGCCTGCCAAGCTGCAGACCACAGTTAAATACCAATAAACAACAAACCTGTTTGTGATTTATTTAGTCATCGCTGGGTTTCCAGCAGTTTTTTAAACTGGAACATCATGTTTCAGTGCTTGTTTTCAGCCTAAACACAGCTGTATTTCCAGCCAAGTTTATGCACCAAAAAAGCGCTGTCTTTACCAAGATATTGCTGCGTTTCCAGCGGGGATCGTTCCACAAAAGTGGTTGTTTTTTACCGAGACATCACTGCATTTCTAGACAGAGCAGTGCCATGAAAAGTAGCTGTTTTTTACTGAGACATCGCTGTGTTTCCAGCGGGAGTAGTGCCATGAAATGTGTTTGTTTTTAACCTAAACGTAGCTGTATTTCCAGCCAGGTTCATGCACCAAAAGAGGATAGTCTTTTCCCAAGACATTGCTGTGTTTCCAGCGGATATCGTTCCACAAAAGTGGTTGTTTTTTACCGAGACATCACTGCATTTCTAGATAGTACAATGCCATGAAAACTAGTTGTTCTTAACTTTAACATTGCCGCCTTTCCTGCTGGGATAGCGCTACAAAAAGTGGTTGTTTTTTACTCAGACATCGCCCTGCCAAGGATGTGCCATAGAGAGTAGCTGTGTTTTTACTGAGACATCGCTGTGTTTCCAGCGGGGTAGTGCCATCAAAAGTGCTTGTTTTCAGCCTAAACATAGCTGTATTTCCAGCCAAGTTTATGCACCAAAAAAGCACCGTTTTTCCCAAGACATCGCTGCGTTTCCAGCGGGGATTGTTCCACAAAAGTGGTTGTTTTTTTACCGAGATATCACTGCATTTCTGGACAGTATAGTGCCATGAAAACTAGTTGTTCTTAACTTTAACATTGCCGCATTTCCTGCTGGGATAGCGCAACAAAAAATGATTGTGTTTTACCAAGACATCACTGCATTTCCAGACGGCATGGTACCATGAAAAGTAGCTGTTTTTTACTGATACATTGCTGTGTTTCCAGCAGGAGTAGTGCTATGAAAAGTGGTTGTTTTTAACCTAAACATAACTGTTTTTCCAGCCAGGATAGTGCAGCAAAAAGTCTTGTTTTCTACCGAGACATCACTGCGTTTCCTTCTGGGATAGTGCCATGAAAAGCAGTCGTTTTTAAACACAACGCAGCTGTTTTTTCGGCCAGGATAGTGCTGCCAAAGTGTTGTGTTTCAACTGAGACATCGCTGTGTTAGCTGCCAGGATAGTGCTACGGAACGTCTTTACTAAGACATTACTGCATTTACTGCGGTATAGTGCCATGAAAAGTCTTTTTTTTTAAACCTAGACATCCCTGTATGTCCAGCGGAGATAGTGCAGCAATAGTGTCATGAAAGGCGGGTATTTTAAGCCAAAACATTTTTATTTTAACCATAACTAAGTGGTTTTAACGTAACCTAAACATAACCACATGTAAACCACAGTGTTGTTGAAACATAAAGAAACAAAAAGGTTCATTATACAAATCTTAGCGTTCCCATGATCTGCAGAAACGCACAGTGCCACACACATTTATTCTAGAAATTAGGTTCAATTCTTTTCAAGGCTAATTAGATGTTTGTACTTTTAAAGAAGCAACACTTGATATTAAATCCTCGCTCACTCACTCAGTCGTTTGTTAAGCGTGTGACACTCTCGCTCACAGACCTCCTTCTCTGTCATAACTTTTATGAAAAACACTGCGAGCTCGACGGCGAGGGGAGAGGAGCTGATGTTGTTGCTGTAATCTGGGATCCAGGTCAGCGATAAGGAACACAACACTGATAAGGAAGACAATGGAGTGTGTGAGTGTGTGATGACGATAAGATAAGAGCAGACAGAGGAGTTATTGTGAAGCGGAAATTATTTTCATGTTTCATTCACAGAAGCAGCAGAGAGGTCACAGAAATAGAATGCTGTCTGAAAATGATTTTAAATAGGATGAACAGGTTTATATGTGTCACTGTGTTTATCTCAATTAATATTGAAGGAAAGGAGAAAAACAGCTGATTCATAACTTTGATTGAGAGTCTCTGGTCTCTCAAATGTTTTGTATTCCTGTAGTTTGCTGTTGAGTTAATTTCCGGTACCTTTTAGTGAAACTGAGGCTTTCTTTGAATAAATTCATCGTCTGCATTTTATAAACTGTTGTCTCTGTTTTCTGTGTAATTAACGCCAGATCACTAAAGTTCCCTCCAAGAAACTTCCTAGAAAATCGTTAGCAATTTATGGGCTCATAAAACGAAGCATTAACATTTCATTTCCCAACGTAAAAAATAAATAAATAAATCTAAACAAGCTGTTTTAAAGCCTTATTTACACTGCCAGGAATTAAATTAAATTCCTGTGGTCTGAATCTTTATCTGTTTATTGTTCTGTTGTAGTAGAGAGGATGTCAGGGCGGGTGATTGGTTCAACACGGCCGCTGACTTTGATCCGTCTCTCTGAACAACAGTAGGTTTATTTCTCTTTTAACAAGGATCTTACTGTGACCTGAACACCATCTAGCTCTGCTTTGGAAAGCAGAGCTAGATGGTAAACAAACATGGCAGCACACCGGTAAGGTAAGACAACACGTTTACATGTCGTTTTCTATATGTTCTCTGACATTTATCCTAACGATATGAGGCGGTCTTTGTGGAAAAAAAGCTTGTTTAGTGGACTAACTTTGCACTTGAAGGTTGCCCGTTCACTTACGTTTTAACAGGTCTGAAACTACTATGCGCCCCAGCTGTATCTAGGCTAACGGCTAACATGCTAACTATTATTTTTATGTCACTAGTCACTTGAAATAAATTTAGGATGATAGGAGACAGGTTGAAATAAACAGAAATGTCCCTTTAAACGTTTACTGACGAGAGTTGAAAAACATTTTAAAGTTTTAATGTTAACTTTATTGGAATATTAAGAGTTTTCGTCACACTGTGTGACATAATTAATGTCCCAGTCCCTAACCTAAAATGACTTCTTCTTCTGCCCTACTTCCTGAAGTTATAATCCAATTAATCATATTTCCATATTTCCAATAATCATATTTTATTTTATTTTATTTTTTTGGCTGACAAAGTGCCCTCCAATGACTGATTAAAGAAAAGTAAAATCAAACATTGACTGAAGAAATTACTGCTACTTATTAAATCATAAGATCAGATCAGGACTGAATACAGGGGTGTAAATACAGACAGTACAGGCAGTGCGATTGCCCTGGGGCCCCTGGGGTGGAGGGGCCCATAGAGAGAGGGGGCTCTTGCACGTGATTTCGATTGGCACCTTGGAAATATACCTATGTTCAAAGATAAATGATTAAAAACAAGAATACTATTCATTTCAAAATGGTGCCTTGTGCGACACGTGTCCTTAAAAAGACAAAACGATTTATGTTGTGGTTTTATTTTTCTTTATTTAAATAAACAAAATTTTATGTTTGTTTGGTTTTTTTTTTTAACAAAAGATATAAAATCTGTAAATATACTACATACATAATTCAATTAAATGACTCATTTCTTACTTTCTTTGATACTTCTGTCAGATATGCAGTGAGGCAGTTTGAATAACAGAAAGTTTTCTGTCATCATGTTTGTGAGTTCTTGTCTGTTTGTCAGCTCGTCCCTCACTGTGTGGGGCAGCTGAGGACATGTTGGACTGGACAGAAGAAGACATTAAAGTAGTAGTATTACAACAGTAGTCCTGTAGCACCACCTGCTGGACTCACAGAGAGACACAACTGGAATTATTCATCTGATTGGCCTGTTGCTGCTCAGTTAATGTTGAATTTAAATGTTTAATGTACAATATTTTTAGATGACTTTATTTCATTGTAGTTTGACTTAAACAGGCTGTTTTAATTTATTTATTTTCACTGTTAATTAACTCAAATTTACAGAACTCTTTAGACAGTCTGCACTGCCACCTGCAGGCTGAATCATGGTACTGCACTTCGTTCAGATGAAGATGAACATTAATTAAAGGCACATTTTAAAGTAAAATAAAGGAAAAACACTTTTAAACTGACAGATGGGTGTTTGTGTGAATCTCACATTGACTCTCGTTTAGTTTTCAGTGTCTTCAGCACCTTCTGAAGGATGAATGATGAATGATGGACCTCGTCTCTCCTCTACAGCCTCTCCTGTCAACCTCTGAGACAGTGAGTGTTTACTCGTGACGTACAACAGATAAGGATCCTGCAGGTGTGTGTGTGCTCAGTACTTCTATCTTTATGAGGTCTAACAAAAAGAATTACAAAATTGAACCTCAATTCAAGCTCCATCATTATTACACCATGAAGAGTTAACTGCACACAAATAGGTTGTGAAAAGATGTGATGTGAATAGATTATAAAATATAAACATTTATAATTTTAAGAAGCAAAAGTAATCCCACGTCATAACTCTGCCCTCCCTTTTAATACAATATGTGACAGATTTAGAGCAGTGTTTTCAAAGAAGGATAGAAAATGATCCACTCTACATTAATGTCTTTAATACAGCTGTAGACTGGTGTTACCTACGGCGGCCCTGAGGGCTCAATGCACTGTACAAGCTACATCACACAAACAAATTCAGGGTCATCTGTCTCTAATGTGACGACACATGTGTACAGCATTTATTTAACACTCTGCAATACGCTCCCAACACAGCTGAGACTGTTTCCAGGGGACACTAAAAAGTGATGCACATGGTTGGGACACGCTTGTTGTTGCCATGGGCACCGTCCCAAGTCTCTTAAATTACTGCTAGTTATCTTACCTAGCCGACTTTGCTAACTGTTTTAGCCCCTCCCACCTGGGAAATGCGAAGAGCTAGCGCTAGGAGCGATGAGCGAGCATTGTCGGTTTAAGAGACATGAGACGTCCTTTCCACTGAAGCGTCATGTGAAGCGACGTCTATTCCTGATGACGGCGGCACCGCTGGATCTGCTCCATAAGCAGCCAGCGTCTGGCGTTACTATGGGTACATCCCAAGTCTCATTATATTCGCTGACCAAAACAGTAACCCCCCCCACCCCCCCGTCATGACTCTGGTCACACACTTTTGCATGTAGCAGCCGCACATCACCGACAGTCCGATGAACAACGCAACGGGTTGTGACTGAAATAAACCTAGTTGCAACATAACAATCTTGCATGAAGTATCATTACTCTTTGAAGTAGGTACGTGAATTACAGAGATTCATTGCAAAGAATGCATGTAACGGGTACTTACTCTTGTACTGTTTCCGCCATCTCGTTCAAATGAGCCAGATGTAGAGGGCGGGTATTTATACATCATGGCGTTCAGCTAAAAACTCTTCCGGATAGGAAGCTTTCGACCATCCTAGCTTGTAGCTGCTTAAAGCTTGCTGCTAGCTCCTAACGCTAGCTCCTCGCTGCACAAATAAGAGACTTGGGACGGCCTAGAAGATGGCGGACCTCCAACAACTTCCGGTTCAAGCGAGGAGCTAGCAGTAGCACTATAAAAATAAGAGACTTGGGATGGACCCAAGGTTTGTGAATTATGAAGTTGTAGAAGTTGGCGATCTGTCACTGTTGGTGTTGGACAGTCAGATTGTTATGATATGATTGAGATATTATTGCAGATATCAGTCGGCCTTTTGATCATTTTAGCTATAACATCTGAATGATGTCGTCACACTGTTAAAATAAGTCAGATTTTCCAAAACCACTGTGTCGTCACATTATTGTTTTCTAAATGCTTCATGTGTTGTCAAGTTGGTGAAGATGTTTCTTCACAACAATCAGACCCCAGTTCTCTTTAAGGTTCAGTGTGTAGGACTTAAGGGCCTCTATTAACAGGAATGGAAAATAATATAATAAATATGTTTCCTTTAGTGTAGAAACACCTGAAAATAAAAACCATTGTGTTTTCGTTACCTTAAATTAGTTATTTATATCTACATAGGGAACAGGTCCTCATCAGTGGTTATCAACATTACCCTTTTTCCATTCTTCTTTTGGCGGCGCCGAGTCAAACCATGCTGACATGGGCTGAGCCACACTGAATTCTACCAGAGATGGACCTTCTCTGGAATATAGTGTTAATTTCATTGTCGAAAACTATGAAGAAAAATTGTAGCCAACGACATAAACGAGACGATGAAGAAATGAAAATATGTCTTGATGATAAAAAATAAAACTAAACTTTTCATTTTCGTTGAGGAGATGTGACGTGATGAAAATGTTAGTGGTGGACTATGTGACACAGAAAGAACAGCCGTGCTTGTAATTAACTTCAAATGCCGCATGAGCAACAGGCTGGTAAACTCCAGTAAATAGTCTGCACCAGGATGTTTCAGTTTGTTGCCTTCTCCAGTCTGTCGCTCTGAACCGTCGTAGGGAGACACTGGTTCCCCGTAGATAATATTTACCACTTGGCTTGTTGCTGGCAACTAGCTCCAGGAGTTCGGACCAACTCCACCCGAAGAAATGAGGAGGCAGTACTGGCGTATGCGCAGAAACACATTTATTTCTTTTCCCTGGCAGGAAACACAACACAACAAAAACGCAGGGCCTTCCCACAGAAACCACGCTGCAAAAACAGACTGTAACCTGCCGCAGCATGAACAGCACCACTCTCACCGTGCATTCACGTCCGTACTCTCTCATCCTCCACTGTCCTAAGGCGAAGGGCTGGCCGGTAACACGTTGGTGCGAGTTGTGAGCTGTAATTCAGCAGTAAATAATCCGCTGTGTGTGTCTGACTGTGGATGGTGGAGCTGCTGAATGGATTTGTGGAGTTTGTTAGTTGCAGTGGTGCCCATTAGCAGCTAGCACCGCTTATTAGCCGCTGAATGGCAGCAGAGCAAGCAGACCGCCAGTCAGAGTTTACAATGAACCTGGGGACAAATCCTAGTTGTCTCACATTAGTTATTTGTTGAGAGCATAAATAGAGAGACGCTGAGCTTTTCAAATGATGATCAGTGAGTGTGTGCTCGTAAATCAGCCCTTAAACCTGTCACACACTGCTGGAGACATGACTGTGTCGCTCGTTATGCTAAGCTAAGCTAACAGGCCGCTAGCTCTTCTTATTATTGTACAGACATGAGAGTGGCATCAATGTGAACATCTGACTCGGCATATTTTAATTGCTGAACTTTTTTTGTTCAGGTTTGAAGGTGAGAGGCTCGGAAATGAATGAATGCCAGTCCTCAGGGTCCTCACAAGTGTAGTGAGACAAACAGGTCTGTGTGTGTGCTTCTGTAAGATGGTTTATGACTTCATATCTCTAACACACACACACACACACACACTGGTGTGCTGTACGCCTGCGTCAGGTGTGTGAATGTCTTTTACCTCCTTCCTGTTCAAAGCTCAAAGTTCAGGCAGAAAGAGACAATCCGCAGACGCCACAAACAACAAGAAGAATTCATGTCTAAAAGGAAATATTTCTCTTAAATCAAACCACAGAAGAAGAGCTGACACGTGTGGAGGACCTCTGTGATCTAATATCTGACTCTGACCACAGAGGACGAGCAGCTTGGATAAACTCTGAGATCATCGACAGACTGGAGGCCATCTTGGAGAGGCCGACAGGTGTGTTTGAACAAATATGTCTGCTGCTGTTTGTGTCGAGCAGCTCTGAGCTGCTGCGTCTGTTTAACACCAGAAATCAGATCATTAGACACAGAAACAAAGAGTTAATTTCATCCTCCATGTTGTGGCTCAGGTGTTTTCAGGTCAGTTAGAAAGACAGACGTCAGAACATCTGGATCAGAACGGCTACATTTAGATAAAAAATCCAACTTTGTCGACTTTTACGTGCAGCTTTAAAATAAGACTTGGCAAAACAAAAATAATATATAATCCAGAACTGCAGTGATTACAGTGAGTGCACCTTCTCTGGGACATGATGCTCCTCCTTGAGCTTTAGATTTTACGAGACAATAAACATTTTAAAGGACAATGAGGCAACAACTGCAGGAACACACCGGGCCGGGATTCAAGACTGGAGCATGAAATCTTTTTAAACATTTCTTCTTTGATCAAATATTATTTAATTTAAATCAGAAAATGTTCTACTAATTTAATACATTACATATATTTGGTAAAATTTAAAAAGATGCTTAAAAACAAGTTTCCAAAGATCTTTATTTGTCATATACAGAAATAAAACAGAGCTCATTTGCAAAAACAGGTGAGAGCTATTCTTACAATGAATAAACCAGCTGCTTGACTGATATTCTTTTGACTGCACAATGAAAAAAATAATAATTAAAAATATCTTATTAATACAACCAGCACCAGTTTGACTGATATCCCCTGGCTTGGACACACAAAAACATAATTTAGGAAAGTAATGCAAATGAAGCCTTCAGAATAAAATAAGATAGAATATAAAATATATACTGTGTAGACTGGTGAAAAGATGAATGATCTGTGATGTATCCATATGGAGATTTAACCAGGTGGTGACAAAATAAAGGTAGAGTGACAACATGTATCTGTCATTATCATCATTTTTATACACAATACTTTCCTTAATCTAATGCCACATTCATAATTAATGTATTTTTATAGAGCCTAAAAGGCGTCAAATTTAATCAGGTAAAATCAAATCATGTTGGAATAAACTTAGAAAACATCCTCAATATTTTGTTTTTATTTGTGCAAGATGTTTTAAACTCTCCCGAGGTACTAATCTCCAAATGAATACTGAAGAATACTGATGGTTTTATGTGCACCATTAACTACATGAGTTAATGTTAATAACAAAACCTTAAAATTCCTTTAACAGCAATAAGAAACGTTTTTAGTTTTGTGCTTTTCTTCATACAACTGTACAGTGCTTTAAACCCCAAACAAACAATAAATGTAAATAAAACCAAAAACCAGGATAGAAAACTAAACTGGAAATTAAATGTAAGAAATAAAATTAATGTACAGAAAAACTGTCGAGGGACGTTCAGCTGAGATCTGTAAATGTTCTGAACGCATTATCGGATTATCAGACGATAGAGAACCAGATGTGAAAATATAAATGTGATGATCCAGATGAAACTGAGTTTGGAGATAATGTTTAAAGAAAAAAGGCCATGGCATATTTGATGGAGCTCCTGTTGCCTCCTGAAGAAGTCTGTTTACATGGACAAAGCATCACGCTTGTGTAACACTTATGTTCATGCTTTTCATCATGTTTAATTAATTTGTTGTAAAACCTGCAGCTTCTTGATTTCACACAAACATCACTTTCACTTGTTTCATGCTGTTGTATTAATGCAAACTGAACCTCTATTTTTCTACTTTCTAAAATCCATTTTATTTTCAAAGTTGTTCATCCTACATAAAACGATGCATCAGAATTATAACATGATTTAAATCCAGTTAATTCTTCACTAGGGTTACACTAATAAACTTATTAAAAGAAGATTAAAGCTACTAAGCTGGAAATTTAAGGGGAAATTAAAGTACAAGGAACCTATATTTGAAAAAAATCTTAAAACCGAGTCGGAGGTTATGCCTCCACCAGGTATTGTGTCTTTCTTTATTGGAAAAATAAATAAATTGCTCATAATGAGAATTAAATGACGTTTTATTCAGTCAGCCTCCAGCTTCATAAACTTAATTTCCCCCTTAAAATTTCTGATAAGTAGCTTTAAAGTCATAGAAACCTAGAAACCTTTCTTTATCAGATGTTCACTGAAACTACACGATGTTTTTTAAAGCCGCTGCTTCACATTACCATCAAATGGAAAAATTGGAAATTATCTGCGCATTTCTTTAATCACCTTTCCTCCAAAATTCAGACTGATATGATGTTTATGGAAACTCTGAGATTCCCTCCAGATAATAAAGTAAAATAAGGCTCTGTTGGTTTGACCTTAGACCTCCAGACTAAGATTTAACACTAATTTTATGTTACTCATATTAAATACTGTACTGGGATCCTGCTATTTCATTAAAACACTCCTGAAAGTTTACTGGAAATGACTTTGGTGCTCATCACAGAGAATATACACATATATAAAAATAATAATATGGTCACATAGTTGAGTCTTTAGGTGGCAGCTGCTTTTTAAAGGAATTTTCTTAAAAACAGCTAAACTTTATTTTCTAAAACAGGAAATTATTTTTAACTTCTGTAAATATACATTTTGGGAACTTAATTCTTATTTTTTGTTTAAATGTATTTTTGCACAAATTAAACTCTCAGTTTCCCTGCAGTTATTGACACATCACAGATCTGTTTGGAAGCTATTAGAAAATTAAGAATGAATTATATGTCTGTGTGTGTCTGAGAGGTTTCTTTGTGTCCCATGTTTTAACCTTGAACTCTTCATCAGTATCAGACGTGATTATTATTTCATCATCATAAACTCGTCCTTCATGACCCCGGCAATCTCATAAATGAGGAAGCACTCAGATCCTTTACTGACGTAAAAGAACCAGTACTGTGATGTTTAAGTAATCCATTACAAGTAAAAGTACATAACCAAATTTTTCGTGAATTAAAATTTATCATTATATTTTTTATTATTAATTCTGCTGAGTGAATCCACAGGTCGACGTCAGGTTTGGTAGTTTAGTCCAGTGGTTTCCAACATGAGGGGTCGGGCCCCTCCAAAGGGTCACAACATAAATCTGAGGGGTCGTGAGATGATTAGTGGGAGAGGAACAAAGTTGTGCTGAGACATTACAGGAAGGACAAACTGGTTTAATCTTTAACAAATTGTATTTAATGAGTGGATCATAGCTTAACTTTTTAAATGTAAAATCTTAGTTTGAAAAGTAACTGAAGCTTTAAAAACCTCAAAATGGCACTTAAGTACAATATTTGAGTAAAAATATTTAGTTACTTTGCACCACTGGCTGTAGGACACCGTTGACTCTTCTGTTTTGTTGTTCAGAATTAATCGTTCTATGTTTAGATATTTCAAAATGCTCTTTAATGTTATGAACATATATTAATTCGTTCAGTGTCTGTCCTCCGCCCTCCAGCAGCAGCAGCAGCTCCAGCAGGGGCCCTCCTGATACCTCCTCACTCCCCGGCTGCAACGCCCCCTGCTGGTCAGCATGGATCCCAGAGCAGGACGGCTGCCGCTCCAGGTGCTGGGAGAGAACGAGGCGCTGCAGCAGTTCTTCAGTGGTGAGTTGTCACCTCCCATCGGTCTCATTGTGTCCACCATTATATGCTCTGATGTGAAGTTCTTTGGTTCCTGAGGAGGGTCCAAGAGTCACAGGGGGATTCATGTTGCCTTTAGGTGGTTCAGATGGTTCTTGGTATTTTTCCAAGGGCCTTTGAGGATATTTAAGTGGTCCTTCAGGCACAGGTGGCTCTTATGGACCTGAGGAGCTGCTGGAGAAAGTTCTGCTGGTCCTTGAAGAGGGCAGTTCAGGGATCAATGAGTCAAAGGTTTTTTTCACTGGTTCACTGGAACGGGTTCTGTTCTGGTTCCTGCACCAAATTTTGAGCCGTTCAGCCATTTATTTGGAACCAAATTATCAGATTTTCATTGACCTCAGGTGCGAACTGTGACGACATCAGTTGGCCTGTCAAATTCTACAGGTTGGAAAGAGATGATCGAGAAGGCAACAATCGAGACGTCAAGTTACGAATTATTGAAAGAAGAGAGTGGGCAGTGATCTTGTTAATATTTGGCCCATGCTTTTTTGCAGGTACTCAATGCAATCCGCCATCCTTCTACTACTGTTTATATCTGTTGTGCACTGTGCAACATCCTCTGTTGAGGACGCATCTTTGATTAAAATGGGACTGATTAAAACTGATGGAAACGTGGGCTGGTTCATTAGGTAGCACCAAGAATCCCGAACAGAACCAGTTCAAGAACCAGAGCTAATTTGGTGGACAAGTGGTAGAAAGGGTTCAAACAGTCCTTGTAGAGGTTCTACTGGTCTGTGGGAAAGATTGAGGGGTTCTTAAGGAGATTCAAGTTGTCCTTGAAGTGGTTCCACGGGTTGTAGAGGCAACTACATTGATCTTTGGGGGGTAGGGAAGTAGGAGATCATTCTTGTGAAACTTGGTGGGGATCCCTTTGGAAGTTTCTATTGCTCCTTGAACAGGACAGTCCAGGGGTCCATGAGTAAGTTCTAAAAGTCCTTGAGGACATTCAAGTTATCTTTGGGATATCCTTGTCATCTCTGAGTTGTTCCCAGTATTCCTCTCTAAGGTTAAAGTGGTCTTTAATAAGGTTCCAGGGCTCCTTGATTTAAGTTCTAGCTGCTCTTGAGGAGATTCAATGTTTTTTTAAGTTCTTCAAGGGTCCAGGGGTAGTTAAGAAGGTTCAAGTTATCCTTAAAGCAATTCTTGAGGTCACTGAGGAAGCAGACCCGAAGCCCATCATCCATCAGTTTTACAACAATTAGCCTCAGGGGGCATCGGCCAATAATTCAGGGGTTCCAGTGTAGCCAGCATTTGCTGTGAACCGGTCATTTTGGCTAATTTCTATAAACAGATATCTGGGTAAGAGCGCGGATACATCCAAAAAAAAAAAAAAGCTAATAAAAAGCTAAATTGTTGTCAGATGATAGTCGATGTGTTCTGAGATTGCATTTCGGCCAATGCGTTCCTCCTCTCTACACAGACTATTTGCCTGCTGCTCAAATGTGATTGGTCAATACTACTCGGACTACAAACAGAAACAGAAACACTTCTGATACCAAAATCTTGTACCGCTGCCTACAGACTCGGCATATAGATGCAGATATCTGTTTATAAAGATTACTGAGGAGGCACGATGGGTCCGAGAGAAGGATCCAGTGGTTCTTTAAGTGGTTGTATTGGTTGTTGAGGAGGAGGTTCCAGGGGTCATTGAGAAAGTTTAAGTGGTCCTCCTTAAGGAGTTTTGAGTGACTCTAGTCATCCTTGAAAACGACATTCCAGGAACCTTTGAGGATGTTCAATAGGTCCTTAAGGTCGTTCTCCTGATCATGGGAAAAGGAGGTTCCACTGTTCCTTGAAGAGGTTCAAGTGGTCCTTACAGAGATTCAAGTAATTTTAGTGAAGTTTCTACCGGTCCTTAAGAAGGGTTGAGGGGTTCTTAAGGAGATTCAAGTTGTCCTCAAGGTGTCATGGAGTCAGCAATAGTGATCCTTGTGTTGAGGTACCAGGTTCCAGGAATCCTCGCAGAAGATAAAGTTTATCTTAAGGGGATTCTTTGGGTTTATAAGAATTTTTAAGTTGTGTGTGTTTCTGGCGGTCTTTGAGAACATTCATGTTCACTGAGGGAAAGTTTCAAGGGGTTTTGGAGGAGGTTTTAGTGGTTCTTAATAAGGATCCAGGGGTCCTTGGAAGTCTCTAGAAACTCTTGAGTAGCATTTCTTTGAAAAAAGGATTGCGCCTGGAAAAAATGAATAAAAAAACACACTCTTACACTACAATTGATCCAAAATATTATTATTATCTACTTTATAATAGTTAATGCATTTATAACATCCAAAGTCGTACAAACTCTTCTTCTGACTCTAAAAATACAAAGCAGGTTAACAGGCCACGTATAGTATGCTATCTATTAGCTTATCTTCCTCTGGTTGTTAAGTCAAGAACAGTCGATAATCGTGTGTGTGTGTGTGTGTGTGCAGGTCAGGATGTGAGTGGTGTGTTGGACAGTTCTGGTGCAGTAGACACGAGCATCCTGGAGCAGTACCTCAGCAATGACATGGACCCCAACAGCTTGTAAGATTCACACACGATTCCTGATTTTAACATCTGACTTTCTACATTTATACTGTTTTCCTCCTTAGTAAAATAAGTATTGAACTTTTAAGTTGTTAACAATATTGAAAATGGAAAATAGTATGTAACAAAATGTAAAATATGAATTAAGGAAAAAACACTTTTAGAGGAGGTAGTAGAAGTAGTGATGATGGTCTCAGGGGAAACCCACTTTGTCATTCCTGAAAACACACTGTTATACAACACACACACAAACAGCATTGACCTAGTTGGTTATCAGTTGAGTGAAGATTGTAAATACAGAAAGCTGTCTGCAGAAAGAAGAGATCACATTAAAACAATATAGAACATATTTGATTAAAAACCCAAAATGTGTGATATGTTTTTTTGTGTGTTTGTTTGTTTTCCCAGCATGCTCCCTGAGTCTCCTCCTGACTCGAGCTCAGAGGCCTGTTCACCTCCACAGATACCAGGTAGTGTTCAACGACTACTGTTGCGCTATAACTATGAGCTGTAGCTCTTTAGAAAGTATCCGACTCGTGCGGCCGTTTCTCAACACAGTGAGGTTCCTTTATTTACGTCTCCATAACAGGAAGTAACCTGGTCTAACCACTAGGTGGCAGTAGAGGAACATTATTCAAGTACAAACATTGACATAACAACTACATTGACTGCAGCAAGAGTTCTAATTAAATTTAATTTTTAATTTTAATTAAATCTAATTAGATTTTCTTTTCTTGGAAGTTGAAAAACTTCAGTCATTAAGATTTTGGCACTCAAGTGACGTTACTCTAATCCTGTGGCAGTAATACCTAATGGACTGTAGATGGCGCTAAAATTTTTTTAAAAAAGGACCATAAAATACTCAGCAACTACAAAAATGGTTGTTTTTTATTGTATTATTTCATTTACAGTATTTAAAGTACATTTGTAGCTTACATGGTTATTTTGTTTTTCTCAAGAAACTCTTAAGATTTGCCTAAAACTGTAACAAAAACGCAGCAGCCATCTTGGATTTTTAGGTTGAGGTTGGTGAGGTTCTTCTGACTTTCTGAGTTGGAAATCTGACCAGTTGAAATTTCCCAGTTCCCAAATGTAGTACACCAATAGGAAGTACTGCAACAAAGTACTCAAGAGGCAAGCTGGTGTGGCTGGCGAGCTAACCAGTAGCATGGCTAGCCAGTCAAAGTAGCTCAAGCTGGTTTACAATTTTTCAGCAGCTCAGATTCACATATTAAGGTTTACTGAAAATGAGCTAATCCAGTGAAACTGTTTGGTAATATAATGTTATTCTCTGATTGGCAGACTTCCACTATGAAGCGCCCTATTGGTCCAACCAGCAGAACACCCAGGAAGTGTTCCAGTCAACACAGCGGCCTGCCCCCTCATCGTCCTGTCGCTTTAAGAATCGAGGTCCCATCCCCGCCCACAATGAGCTGCTGACCCATGAACAGCTCCACAGTTTGGGCCTCACAAACACTTACATCAAGTCTGGGACCTCACCTGCCCCACCCCCTCCACCTGCCCCCCTGCACCAACAAACTCACCAGGTGTCCGCTCCACCTGCCCCCCTGCACCAACAAACTCACCAGGTGTCCGCTCCACCTGCCCCCCTGCACCAGCACACGCACCATCTACCTGAACACACACACTACCTGAGTCCAGAGAGCTGCTTGCAGGCTTACACCCCTCCCACACCTCCTTCCCCACCAGTGCCCCCCTCAAACAGCTACGCCACACCCTGCACTGTTCCAGGTGTGGTCCCACATGTATCCACGCCCCCTTCAACCTGTCAGCTGGGCTCCGCCTCCACACTACACGTCTGGTAAGTAGAGCTTCAGCCCTGTCAGTGTTGTGAAATCAGAATGAACTTCTGAGGTCAACAGATTATGGCCAATTATCAGTCTGAAATCTGTCTGTCTCCTCCTGCTTCAGCTCCTCAGAGAGTAAAAAGAGGAGGAGATCTGAGTCTGAGTCTGAGGAGCCATCAACAGGAATCAAGGCTTCCTGCAATGAAAGTGACGCAACTCAAGGCGGCAGTGTAGGAAATGGTGTAGGTGGTTTGGGATCCTACCAGCTGCTGACTTGGGAGCAGTACAGACCAGAACATTGGAGCACTTTGTACGACAGCAGCTACCAGACAATGTGAGTATGAAACCAGTGTTTTAATTTTAATTCTGACGAGTACTTGTTGAGATACTTTGCTCCAGACCAAAGAATTGGACGGACTAACTGACAGCACCATCCTTACACCTGACCCTACATTTCCAGGTCTCCTCCTGCCTACCACGTCGACACAGATAAAGGCTTCAACTACTCTGCAGCTGACGAAGCCTTCGTCTGCCAGAAGAAGAACCACTTCCAGGTCACCGTTCATATCGGCGTGGCCGCAGAGCCACAATACGTCAGAACGTTAAGTGGGCCGCAGCAGGTCGACCACTTCCTGATAAAAGTGTTTGGGATCAAGGTTCGTACAAGACTTCCATAACTTCTGTCCACACTGTGTGACCAAACAATTATAATTGACATTGCTGGATAAAGGTAAACTATGCTAAACTCATAATCAAGTTAGCCTTCAAGCTAAGATGGAAGACATAAATGGGCATCACAAACTTCGATTGAAAAATGGTACAATTCCCAAAATGCAGAATCATTGAAAATCAGAACAGGGTCAGAACAGAGTTTGGTCCAGGATATGTTTAGTCTTTCTTAGCATAAACACTGGAGTTGCTAACCTAGCAGCAGTTAGCACAACAGCTACTTGCTGAGCAACAAGATTCTCAAAAGTCCTGAACTCATTGGGGTGTCAAAGTGAACTCTAGTGTCAACAAAGCACACCAGATTCTGGGATGCTGGTAGCTTGAACGATACAGGACACAGTATCTTGATAAAATTGATTTTCTCTTTGCAGTTTGTTCTCATGTACGTTGAGCCACTTTGGTTGCCAGAGAATCTGAAATGCCAATGAAAGTTGTGGAAAACCCAACCAGTAGGGGTCGCTCAGTAAATTCCTCTGTGTGGTACCTTTCTCTTCACAGCTGGAGTCTCCGAGCCACCAGGTGACGATTGAGCAGTCTCAGCCTGACCGCAGCAAGAAGCCCTTCCACCCTGTCAGGTAGATAATGTACAAAGCATCCCTTCACCCATCATGGCCAGTTGCACCAGCTGCTAGCTCAAATATACACGTGTTTGATACTGTTTGGGACTGGCCCATAAACTCTGTGGGACACAGGTTTGGAGTTGCATATAACATCACGTTTCTAGTCTGAAATCAAAATAACAACTTTTGAGCTTCAGCTGTAGGTGATTAAGCTAATGGTACCTCCATGAGTTAGCTGAAAACTGAGGCTATAGCCACATGTCAAAGGTAAGGCTTCATCCTCACCAGTTAGATATCCATGTAGAAAACACAGAAATAAAGAAGCAGCATATGGAGAAATTCAAAACTTGACTGGGCTGTAGTAGAAGAGAAAAAACATTGTATGTCTATTCGTAACCATTTTTCCTTGACCTCAATGGAAAACATCAAGAGGTCAAGGAAAGATGTGATGAAGAATTCATAAGGACTTAGGAAAAGACAACCACCGTGCTAAGAAAGTCCAACTTTGCTTACACAAGGTCACATAATGATGATGATGTTATTGACCTGTGTCACTGTAAATGTTGCTGCTGCAAGAAATTGTGGGATGGCATTATATTCCTTCCCTTGGTCAAGAATGGTCCAGGGTATCCTTGGCTAAAGAAGATAAGACATGAAGCATTGAGGCTCCTTTCCTTAGCACTTAGAGTTCTTATCATGGCTGCCACTGACTATTTCACCGCAGACCTGATTTGCCCACTTATGATTGGATAATAGCAACAATAGCTGTCAGGGGTTGCTGTGTGTTTTTACCTCAGTGGCCACAGGGGGCAGTGATGAGCGTATTCTCGCTGCTTTCGGTGTTGCTTTCTGACACCATCACAGTCATCACAGGAATTTGATGTGGTTCACCTGTAACTTTTCTTTTCAGTATTTTCTACGTTATACATTAAAAAAAATGTAATAGGACAAAAATGTAATTAAATATTTTACAAACAATAACCTCTGATCCTTCAGGGTCAGTCTGCCCAGCGGCAAAATCACCAAGGTAACGCTCGGACGACTGCACTTCAGCGAGACGACATCCAACAACATGAGGAAGAAAGGCAAACCCAACCCTGACCAGAGGTGTGTGAGTGAGGTTATGAATGAATGAATGAATGAATGAATGAATGAATGAACAGTCAGGGCTACATGCTAACGGTGTGTTTGTCTGTAGATATTTTCAGATGGTGGTTGGTCTGTACGCTGCAGTGGGAGGAGACGAGACGTTCCTCCTCACAGCTCTGGTGTCGGAGAGAATCATCGTCAGGGTAACAACCGACTTTAATCAATAAACGTGAATCAATAAGGCAAAACGTGTGAACCGCAGTAACAAATATCTCTGCCCTGTTTGTAAATCAGTCATCAGTCTCACATGCAGCATAATCTCCCTCCGCAGGCCTCTAACCCTGGTCAGTTTGAGACGGACGGGGACGCCCTGTGGCAGCGTGGGGCAATGCAGGACGCCGTGGTCTGTCAGGGACGAGTGGGCATCAACACCGACTCCCCTGATGAGGCGTTAGTGGTCTGTGGTAACGCCAAGGTGATGGGCGCCGTCATGCAGCCATCAGACGACCGTGCCAAAGAGAACATCCAGGAGGTACGACGGCAACATATTACTTAAATACTTAAATGAAATAAACATCAAAGTGGATAACTGCATTTTTATGAAATATGACCTTAGACTAATTTAGCAAGAACTGTTGCTGCCAACCTTCGCTTTGCAGCACTCAACACCTCCACTGACTAATTTCCTGAACATAAAGTAAATGTGATGCTTTTCTTCTACTGATTGTTTGATAACTTGTAACTAACTGAACACAGCTAAGTCTTGGTAAAGAACAGCAACTTTTCGTGGTGCTATCCTGGCAGGAAAAACAGCAACAGGTCGCTAAATGACAACCAGTTTGGTTATTTGTTAGTCACGAACATCGAACACTTTGCTGCCCCCTAGTGGTAGTACAAAAATATTCCAAATGTAGTTTCCTGACTGTGTATTTAAATGTTTGTTTGTCAGGTTGACTCTGAGCAGCAGCTGAAGAGAATCACTCAGATGAGATTAGTTGAGTTTGATTATAAACCAGAGTTTGCCTCCGTCATGGGAATAGACCACACCCACCAGACAGGTATGACGGTATTATAAAACAGACTAACTGTAATTTATCTGCAGGTCAGTGAATGCATCATAATCACATGATCACGTGGTGTTTCAGGTATAATAGCTCAGGAGGTGAAGGAGCTGCTGCCATCAGCCGTGATGGAGGTCGGAGACGTTACCTGTTCTGACGGAGAGACAATTGAAAACTTCCTCATGGTGGACAAAGTAATCTCCTCTTCTTCTTTTCTTCCTGACTCCAGACGTTGTTATGTTTATCTTTATCGGTTAATGTTGTTGTTATGTTGAAGATTTAACTTTAACCAACAGGTTTTTTGTCAGATAGGATGCTTTCATATCTGTTCAGAACTAAAGCACATTTATCTGTCCCCCTCAGTTAAAACATGAAATTAGCAGAGGACTTTTATTTTTGACTAACTGTGAGAGCACAACTGGTAGACGCAACAACACCTTTGGTAAAGTAGTTGGTGGCAATATGCAACCTCAAAAGCAACAGTTGCATCTGCCATAAAATGGAAAGAAGATGAAGCAACTATGCATGGTTGAAATGGGAAGTACTGTGACATTTCCACCATAAATTGATGCAGAAGAATTGACCACAATTCAAGAAATTAAGTGTTTGATGCACAAAATTTCTTGTGGGATGATCCCCCAAACCTCCTGCTTCATGTGTCCTTTCACAAAAAGAACAATCAACACCCCTGGTTTTCATTTTTGTTTGTTCTTTTTTATCTTTTTTTGTCTTCAAATATCTTTCTTTGTTGCACCAACAGTCCAGAACTTAAAAAAATCAGAAAATCTTTCAAAGCTGGAAGCAGCAGATGTTTGGCAGTTTTTGCTCCATAAATGACTGAAACAGTTCAACTGATTATCAGAAATGTTGCCCATTGATTGTCTGATGATCAACCAAAATCATTTCATTGATTAATCATTTGAATGATTTCTTTTATATTGAAAATCACAATATTTTGCTGCTTTCTCTCTCTACTAAAGACAAAGGTTTATTTGTTAGGATTGAATACCTACAGCTCCTGTGAGTCCTAGCCAGAAGCACACGACCAAACATTTGAGATCTGATGTTGTTGTCCCTCCTCCTCCTCCACCTCCACCTCCTCCAGGAGCAGATCTTCATGGAGAACGTTGGGGCGGTGCAGCAGCTGTCGAAGCTCACCGACAACCTGGACACTCGAATCAAAGAGCTGGAGGTCTGGAGTCGCCGACTGGCCAAGCTGAAGAGTCTGACCGGCAGCCTGCGCTCCACTGGGTACATTCATCCATTCATCCAATCAGAAAAAACCTGCCCAGTTTTCATAAAACTCGGTGGAAGAGTGTAGCATGGGCCAAGAGGAACCCATTACATCTTGAAGCAGATCCAGATATTTATTACTTTCCTTAACATTTAGAGAGAGGACATTTGGCCTTGTTGGAGGTGTGTGCTCACCAAATGCTCCTCTAGTTACAACATCGACCATCTACAGTTCAACATTTCTTTCGTCCAGTGTAATTCTTTGTAATTCTCAATAAATCTTCAGACACAATTTTCTTGCTTTAAAAAATTATGAAAAATACAATAAATGGAAAAAACTGTTCTGCACAAGTTTTTTGCTGCTGAAAGGGATTCGTTAGCTTTATAATTTAAGCCCTCATATACAGAACAAACCAATCAAGCTTGCAAACTTGCAACTGCAAACTTAGGACACTTAGGCACTATACAACATCGTGGAAAAGTACTAATGAAGTGTGTGTGTGTGTTACATAAGAGCGGTATTAGCATGTTATCAGCACATCAATGCAAATCACAGTTCAAGGACGACTGAGTCTCTGAGGACTGCTGAGTGTTTGTGTGTGAATGAATGAAGAGCTGCAAAGTTAAAAGACATCAAATGACTCACTGCAGCAAAAAGAAATTATGAAGTGAAGTGTCACAAACTGCTGTGCTGTGGTTTTGCCCTTTGTCTGTTTCATGTTGAAAAGTATTGTGGGAAATGCAGTCAATGACTAATCGAGGCAGGTTGAAGGACAGCAGGTTCATGCCTTTACAAAACACAGCTGATCTGCGCTCAAGGCCACAGACAGTGATTGGTTTAATTATTGGTTGAAGCTCCTTATAAAACTGGACTGTTTGACTTTTGTAAGCGTTATGTGACGAGCTGTGTTGATGTGTAAGAATGTTTTTAAACTGTGAAAGTGATGCACGTTTGTAACAGATGGTAAACAAAAAATATCCACTGATTTCAAGTTCAAACTGGACTTCTTGTGTAATCTCCAACAGGATACCCAGGAAAGCCAGCAGTGTGTCGATGACACAGGGTCCTGACACATGTAAGACTGGGAAGGTTCAGAAGGAAGGCTGGAGTCAGAAGTACAGCAGCTGTCTGCAGCATAAAGTCTTCCAGGCCAGCATCTTCACCCTGCTGGCCACCATGGCTTTCTGGTGAGGCATGCTGTCGCTTTCTGATTTTACTACCGAGACATAATATGTTAAATTGAGAAAGATAAATATTAACTTGTGTGTTTGTATGTGCAGCGTCATCTCTATCACTGCTCTCTACCTACTGAATTTGAGGGAGGACGACTATAATATCTTTCCCGGCATCAGGTAAACAACCAGGTCTTTTTATTGTATTAAGAAACACCATTTTTATTTACTTATTAAAGCCTCAATCACCCAATAGCATGTAGGGAAACAATGTGATACCCTTACAACCATAAAAAGTGTAATAGCAACAACACTTTAGAACTACTACCACTGGACCAACCCAGGAACCCTCCATTAATATTCCTTTTGTGACCTCAGGGTAACTTGTTAGCAAACATACACAATGTCATAAAGATACCTAATAATACCAACTACCTGGTAACATTCTGGTAGCCATCGATAGTCACATGGCCATCACCTATTATCACCAGACCATTGGTATTTCTTTTGTAATAGTCATCTAGCAACCACCTAGTATCACCCTATCATTACTAATGCTTTTGCAAGCAGTGACATTGGACTATTGAAATTCCCTTTGTAGCCTCAGAGAAACACTCAACTTACCATACACTCCCTTAACAGTCACCTGATGACTACCTAACAATGACCTAGTGACAGCCTAGTAACCACCCAGTACCCACCTAGTAACACCCAGCCTTTAGAATTGCCTAACTACCCCCAAATAACACCTTAACAGTCGCTTAGGTCCTGTTTATACGACAACGATTTCAACTGAAAACAGTAAACTATAGTTACGTTTTGGACGATCGTTTACATGACAGCAGCGTTTTGGGTGCCTGAAAATGCAACGTTTTGAAAACGGGTTCCAGAGTGCAATTTTTTGGAAACAGCACCGTCTCCGTCATGTAAACTTGCAATATGCAATTACACGTTACTGCCCAACACTGATTATAACTATTTAATAAGAAAGTAGTATTTGGGTATAGCAAAAAAAAACCCTGCAACCTCCGGTACTGCAGCTTTACCTTACTTGATTTTGCGGCTCCTTGTGAACAGAGATCATTTCAATAACATCGTCATATAAACGCAGAAGTTTTCTAAAAAGCAAAGGACAGACTTCTCCGTTTTTGGAGAAATCGTTGTCGTCTAAACATGGCCTTAAAGTCCCCTTGAAGTAACATCCTACCATTAGTATTCCTGCACTGCAACCACCTGTAACACCATTGTAGTTTCAAAGCAACCACATTGGAAAACAATGATAAACCATTTCTGCATTCTGATATTTTAATGTTGTATCCTGTTGCCAAAATATTTGTTAGCTTCGTAATTATTGTCTCAAACTTTGCCTGCAACCTTTATGGTGTGGTCATGTTTGTGCTGAATGTTGTTCTTGTCTGTTAGTAACGGCAGCGTGGTTCCTCCGCAGACCACAGCCTGGAGCAGCACAGGTAACATACACTGACTGTGTTTACGTTCACCTCCGAATAATTATTATTCAGTGTCCTGTTAACATGGATAATCCAGAGTCTAAAGTAATATTAAATATCGAGTGAGCATGTAAACATAATCACTGACTCCTGCTAGCTTGTTTTCACCCTGCAAATATTGATCTTGACAGAAAGTAGTATTTTATTTTTCCACATGATCCTTTGGTGTATCAGCAGCAGTGCTGACTGAAAATAATCAATAAATAAAAGGTTAACATGGTAACCCTCACTTTTCTCTACCAGTCCAACCGTCCTCTCCTCCCGGCCCTTGGCCACCAGACATGGACTTCTGCGACCTGCTGTACTGTGAACAGGTGTACTGCTGCACTCCACCAGCAGGGGGCAGCACTGACTCTAATATCACCTCCACTGAATCACCTGCAGAGGAAAATTCTGATATTGCAGGTAATAACAGCTCACTGTCTACACACAATATGAATCCAAACAGGAACTCAAAATAATGAAAGAAAGCAATAGATAAACAGATGTATGTAGACCACACACCAAATACAGTGTATTCATGTTTGAAGTACGTGATGAATGACATTACCTGCAGTACTAACACTGACTTCTGCTGTAATGGTTGGTGTGTTTTTGATCTGCAGAGGAAAGAAGAGAAAAACTTTACCAGAAGCTGAAAAATGCCAAAGACTGTGAGTGTTCACTTTTTACATGTTTAACCCAAACAGCCTCATAAACACATAAACAGACGCACAGTGACTCTTTTACAGGTGGTTCAGCTGAATGGATGTAGACTTAGGAGAGTAAGGTTGGATTTTACTTAATTCTGTATGAGGACGCATCCAAAACTTTAATACATAACAAAAAGCTAGCCTGATAGAATACTGTACTACAGTCAGGGATGGGCAGTATTTCTATTACTTGTATTTAAAATACGTATTCCAATTACATTTGAGTATTTTGTAATTTGTATTTGAGGCCGATAAAAAACAAATGTAATTTGTAACAAAATACTTTTGAGTGGAGTAATTTTGTATTTAAAATACTCAAAATACTTTCTCCATGAATGACGAAAAACAAAAATAATAGGCTACACATCTTATAATATTGGACATAACAATATTTTTTACTTTTTTTTTTCAATATTTTTATCTATATGTTTTTTAAACCTGGGCCATTCAATGTGCCCTTCAATGACCTAGTGGTCTGTTTTACTGGACTGTGCATAACAACGGAAATTGTATGTTGTTGTGGTTGATGCTTGGGATGAGTATACAAATGAATTGCCTCACGTGGGATCAATAAAGTTGTCTGAATCTAAATCTGAATCAATAAATAATATTATAGGGTAGCCTACGCCAAATTGTGAGAAAACAAGCACAAATTTGCAAAAGCTGCGACCAAATTTGCTACTATCACGACATTAATGGACGAATCATGGTTGTTCTTTCTGGCATAGTTACTTGTGGTCTTTAATTGCAGCATGTAAATTTTGAGCAATTTTAGTCAAGGACTTTTTGAGTTATTCACGAAAAGCTTTGTGGACAGACCGACTCAAGTTGAAGCTGATGTTACGCTTTTTTTTTTTTTTTTAAATAAAATGTATTGGAACATTTAAATGTATTGTTTAATTTCTTCATTTCCATACAATTTAACTAAAACAATTTTTTATTCAATCTTAAAAATCAAAAGCTAATTTAATTAGAAGAAATTATTTGTAATAAATGATGAGTTGCGATAACTAGTCATATTAGATAGTTTTTTCTAATGATTCTGAGTAGACACTACTAATATGTACTCATCAAGCCTACTGCATAAAATTAAGGTTATATGTTAACACAACATGGCGTCTTTAGTTTTAGCTTGTGTAAAAACTAAAGGTTCTATGTTAATACAACTTGACTTATTTAGTTTTAGCTAATGTAAAAAGTAAAGTGGTATAAGGCAACGGGTTTCCACGCGATTTGCGAGTAAAGTCAATTAATTTGGGTTAAGAGTGCAGAGTGACCTACAGAGCTGCGGGTCGCTGCTAAAAAGAGAAAGAAAAAAAATATTTTCTGTATTTGAAAATAGAAAATACATGTATTTTATTTTGATACATTTTCTGGCACCAGTATTTTGTATTTTATTTTGATACATTTGTTTTGTATCAAAATACATTTTGATGTATTTTTGCCCATCTCTGACTACTGAAGATATGTTATGTTAGAGTGAGGACAGAGACTGAGCTGAATTTGATGAAATATCTGTGTGATATATTTTTTATAATTCTCTCTCTCTCAGGGACAAACACGACCTTACAGTCTTTAATGATCAAAGAGAACCAGCAGGTGATCGACAGCAAATACTGTCTAAGAGACGAATGTGGGTGAGTGATGAAAGACAGAAAGGAAAAATACACCATAATCACGGAATAATCAATTAAAGCCTCTCCTTTATTTATTTATCACAATAGATACAGTTAGGGTGTATGTAGTAGTAGTGTTTGTGAATTTGACTGTTTGATCTCACTGTTTCCTTCAGGCCAGGTAGATACACCTTCAGAGTTCCCATCAGCCAGTTTGTCCCAGACAACATGAGAGTCACCCTGGTCATGAAGTAAGTACTGACGGACCGTAAAAATCAAAACACCTCCATGAAAACATTTAGACACGACAACAATTAAATGTTGCACATACAAATTATAACTGTGTTTTGGATCTGTAATGAATGAGTATGATCAGTAGGAGGTTTTGGAAAAATATTGGAAAAAAGCTAATAAAGTAAAGATACAGAGAATTGTTTAATGAATCGTCATCCAGTCAACTCACACTTTTAAAATGTTCTTTGCTAGTAAAATACAAATTATTCAAACTAAAAATTTCAAATGCGTATATTTGGCGTATTATGGTTAGAATTACAATAGCCTAATTAGCTAATATCTGCTCACATGACCTGTGTGGTTGCTAACAAAGCTAATTAGCACAACAGCTCATTGATGCTAATGATTAAATGTTAAATGTAACCATTAGCATCACTGTGTTAGCTAGCCTGCTGACTTGTTAGCTAGCTGCAGGCATTTAGACACCAAACTAAAAGTATTAAATTAAAAAAATATTTAACGTTTGGTTATTTTGAGTTGGTAGAATTCAAAATGTATAACTTGGATAAGGTCAACATCCACACATGTTTTACATTTCTTATTAAAATCCAAAAAAATATATAATTTATTGTAAACAACATTACCATATAATTTAAAGTTTTAGAAGTGGGACGCAGTAACAGCTAATATCCCGTTGCATAACCTGTGAGGTTGCTTACATTGCTGATTAGCACACTAGCTAGCTTATGCTACCCTTAGAATGTTAGCATTTAGAATAGGCTTTTGGTTTGATAAGTGGATTCATCTCAGTTGTTGACAGTAAATAAAACATGTTTTCATATCTTTTTATTTATTTTTTATTTCTGTGTAGCTCCACAGAGGTGCTGGTGGTTCATCTGTGCAGCCTTGATGAGTCAACGGCCTGCTCTGCTATGCTGGATATAGACACTGTCACTGGAAGCAGATACCCATCAAACACACAGGTAAATATGATGACTGACATCACCTGTTGATCAACTGATTGATTACATTCTGAGCTTTATTTATAATATACACCATTTAATGTAAAATGTTACTGTGCTCTACTTGTAGTTGCTCTTTCTTGTCCATTATGAGGTCGTAGAAAGCAAAATATTAACACATGGAAGAATTTCTAAGTAGTTATACTGATTTTTGTTTGTAGCAAGAAGTGTTAAACAGGAACATATAATATTCTTAGGAATGATTTAATTCTCTAATCTCACTCAAATGAGTTTGTTAGTTTTATTCTGTGTTTAATTCAGTGCAAGTTTTTGTACAGGTGTTTGTTTTTAGGCAATTTGTATACCACCTCTCAACAACAAGGCAATTCAGAGTGCTTTACACAAGAGAGGATATGAAATAAACTCAAGGCAACATTAAAAAGAATACATAAAAGGACCCATACACATATACAGAAGTTAAAAGGATTAAATCAAAGTAAAATGGAACATTCAAATAAAATACAAATTGTCAGATTAAACAGTAAAATAAAATAACAGTGCAGTACAAAGTGTTAGTAAGTAGTCCCAAGTTCAGTGGTGAAATGTAACCAAGTACATTTATTGTACCTGTACTTTATTTGAGTTTTAAATGTCCATGTTCTGCTACTTTATACTTCTTCAAACTGCACAATAGTATATTATGTCAATAAAATTAGCTTTACTCTTGAATTAAATCCTGAATGCAGGACTTTTACTTTTGATTAGTAATTAGAGTGTTTTTATAAAGTGGTATTACAACTTAAATAAAAGATATACAATCCTTTTCCACCACTGCCCAAATTCAATATAATGCTGGGGCAAAGAGAGCCATGATTTTAAAGAACTGAGTTTTCTGGAAGTTTGTACAAGATATATGTAGTATATAATCTTTTCAACCTTAAGTTTATATTTGGAAAGTTTCAGACAAACAATGATGCATTAGGAAAGCTTCTGTAGTTAAATGAATAAAATAAGGACCGTGTAAAAACAAAACAAAACAAAACAAAAAGCACTAATATTCAAATTGAAATTATTTTAAAAGGTGTTTTCTTTTGGTACTCTTACTGAAAATGGTGACTCAGAATGATAAAAATATTTTATTTAAACAACACTCAGCAAAACATATGATCTATCCTCACAGATGGATTAAAGTACATCCATCAAACCAATGTTTCAGTACAGACTTCTGTGTGTTTTATAAATGACTGAAGGTATATTGCTCTCTGTAACAATAATAATTAAAAAAAGGATATAATATCCCATTTCTTCTTTTATGGAGCTGTGAATTCAAAGAGGTTAACAGGGCATCAGTGCATGATGGATGATGGAAAACCACACATGCACATACTGGGATCACCTGTGTGTATGTGTGTCAGTTTTGGGGTCAGTGAGGTTCCAGTCCACCAACTCAGTTTCCATTACAGTTAATAATTTAGGACGTGTGGGGAAACTCTGATGAATAATGGATGTCTGGCAGGGTTTCCCTCACATCAGGAGGACAACATGCTAATCACAGCTGCGCTCACACTAATCCAGGACATGGACACCAATCACAAACTCACACAACTGTTACAGCACAAAACATAGCAGAGGAGGAGGAAGTACTCTGATCCTTTAATTAAAGTAAAAGCAGCAGTGGAAAAATGCTCTGAAATAAAAGTGCTGTATTCAAAAAGTAAAAGTTATAAAAGTATAAAGTACCACAAGTAAAAGTACTCATTATGTAAATAGAATAATGTATATTATATTATTTGATTATAATTAATGATGCATTATGCATACGCATCACTTTAATGCTGCAGCTGGTGAAAGTGGAATTATATTTAATTTCTTTATATACTGCTAGATATTCTAATCTATTGTTTCTTATATTTTTGTATTAGTGATCTGAATCTGCAAAGTAATTATTAGTTAAAGTTGTTAAATAAATGTAGTAGAGTTAAAAGTACAATATTTACCTCTGAGATGTAGTGACAGTTTAAAGTAGAATAAAATGGAAATACTCAAGTACAAGTATCTCACAATTTTGAGGCATTTTTTAATTTAGTTTTCTATTTAACTTTAATCAGATTTACTGTATTTGCAAAGTTAAAGCTACTGTATATACTAGAACTATAATTAGTAGTTGATGAATAAATTATCAATCAACCGAAAAATAATCTGCAACTTTTCTGATAATGCATTAAGTGGTTTATTTAGTATAAATACCAAATATTCCCCCATTTATATACCCTGAAATGTGGGAATTTGTTATTTTTTCTTTTATGAGATAGTGAACTGAATATTTTTCAGGTGTGGAATATTGGTTGGACAGAACAAGCCATTTCACTTTAAGAAAATGTCACAATCATTTTTTTTACCCTTTTTTTCCAGCACCAAATGATTACTCAAAACAATTATAATTTAAAATAAAATAATCATTATCATGTAACATTCTTCAAACAAACATGCTGTGACATACTGGGTTTTTTTTTGTGAATAACTGTAAAGCTGAATTTGTGGCTTGGTCTCTGTGTGTTTCTGCAGGGAGAACATGAGTGGCCTCTTCATGTCGCTCGTCTTTATCACAGCTCATATCACTTTCGCTCCACAGTGGCTGTAAGAAACTGATTTCTTTTCACCTTGTTTCTATTATTTTCTAATTATTATCTGTCTTACTGCAAGAAAATATTTACTAGAGCACCAAATGCGGATTAATCCAACACTTCCTCCAATTCCTACTGTTTGCTGGCTAGGAACTATAGTGACCAGTTATTTGAGGAAATTACTGAGTTTTTTGAAACATAAAACTACATATATTTGTGTTTTCAAAGATTTACATCTTCAGTCAGAACGAATGAACAGACAGGAAAACATAAATTATTGAGATGGACTAACACATTGTTGGTTCTGGTCTTTAAATTGGATTTATTGACATTAAAACATATAAAACAGGCTGTAAATTGTATTTATCATCATGTTATTAGTTAGTGAGGATGAGCTATCACAGTTTTATTGCAGTTGGAAACAAATCTACTTTTTTACTTTTATATTTACTTTTGGTAACATTACTGAATATACCTACAGGCACACAACAGCCTTTATTGTGTTGTATTTACTTTATTAATGTAAGTAATATAATAAAAGTTTCTACATGTCTTTCTCCTCAGGGTCAAGCAGACTGCAGTACTGACTATTACTACGCGGGGGCGCGCTTCACTGACTACTACTTCCATTTCTACAGACGCTGCACACACACATAGACAAACAATTAAAGATAAAATTAAAAAAACATTAAACTATTAAATGCAAATATGTTAAATATTTGCTTTTTTTAACACAAAGGTGACAATCAGAAAAACTGAAACAGAATTTCACCAATTCTGCTTTTGTGTTGTTGTTTTTTTATTGTGACATTAGTCACTTTTGTGGATAGATTGTTCTGTGTGATTGGAAAAAAAGGTTTCTCAGATCAGACACACTATATATATATACTATATCTCCCATTATGTACTTCTGTTTACTGCCTTTTCTTCTTATGTCTTACCTGCTTTGTAAGAAAGTGATTCTGAACCCGGGGGTCAGGACTCAAAATGTGTCGCAAGATAAGTGTGTTGGGGGGAGGGGCGGGATGATCATTGTTATAAGAAAAAACATGTCTGCTTTCTGTGTTTTCTAGCTTTTCTTAAATATTGTATCTTAAATATCATGTCTTAATATTGACTTTTTTTTCTCATGAAATGCTGGAAACGTTTTTAGGCCTGTGAAAATGAAAAGAAAATATTGCTGTCTGCTTGTCACAAGGGGTCACAGGCAGGCGATGCTTTAAAATGTCTAGACTTAAACTGAGTAAGTTTGAAAAATGAGTAGTTTTCTGTTTTGGTTTTTAGTCATTATCGTGAAGTTTATTTCTTGGAAAGTACTGATCTCATTCTGATGGATTACACCAGTAAACCAGTGTAAATCCCAAATTCCTGAGCAAGAATTCTGAAAATAAAGCCTGAAGTTTGATCTGAGAAATTTTGTTGCTGGTACTTCAGTTCTAGTCTCAAAGAACAAAACCCAGAGAAGACTTTCTTCTAAATTGGGAAATAGAAAAAACATACTTTTATATAAGACTCAAGAAAAAGCAGTTATTAAAGAGCAGAATATTAAAACAAACAAGATCTAAAGTTACTTATTAAAAGAAATATTGATTAAGTTACTTCTGAGTGTAAAACTGTCGATGTGAATCTTTTCTATGAGCTGAACTGAACGTGACTGAATCCGGAACTCTTTGCTTTATGCGAAATAAAAAAATAATAAGATATGTTTAAAAATTTCATTGCATCTGTGTTGACATTTTACATTTTTGCAGTGTGAGGACCAGAGGGTCCAGTTGACCTTACGGGGACTTTCATTGACAAAGTTTATCCCCCAGCCTGGAACCCTGACCTTAATGTAAACCTAATTCTAACCTTAACCCTGAGGTCTGAACCCCAAATTAAACATTCAAAAAGTGTTACGAAAGACTCTTCAGTCCCCATAATGCAGATGAGTCTCCACAATGGTGTCAGATGTCAGAGGTCCCCACAGTGTCATCAGAATCAGAATGGCGTGTATTAGTAAGCAGGGTTTTCATATACAGGGATTTGCCTAGTTGTTTGTTTCGTAAACATACTAAGAGGAAATAAAATTAAAAGCAATGCAAAACTCAAGAAACTGTTTCCCTGGTACTCCTATAAAGTGGATGAGATTAGCCTGTCTGTTCACCTACAGTGCAAGTTTCTTATTAATACACTGGTGCAAAGGTGATTCATCCAGCTATTAACTGTCTTCTTCCTGAACCCTTCTCACTGACACCCTTAGTGGCTTGAACATAAAAATATTAGAGAGAACACTTAAGTTAACGACAGCTCTTTAATAAAATGTAACAGTTGTTGTGGTTGCTGGAAATTATTTAAGCCGCAAGTAAACCTTTGCTGCTCGGGAAATGTTAATTTTTGAGTCTAACCCAACCAATAAGAGGCTTCGTCTATGGACCTGACTTGCACACCTGCATACAATCTGTAATTTTACACCACTGAGAAGAGGCTACGTGATTATTTAACCTCTCTAACTCCGCTAGGCGCACTATGTCATCAAATGTTTGGTATTGCTGGATTCAGGAAGCTCTCGACTTTTCAAAGATAACATTGTTTTTCTTTTATTTATTATGTATTTCGCACCAGAGCAGCCTAAACACACAAAGTCCAAAATTGTGATGAGTGGTGACAAGTCATGTCATGCCGTTTTTTGACGGGAAAAGATAAAGGATTACTCGCGATCTTATTGAGTAGGGACTTAGCTGTTTTATAAAAGGTAAGAGTCTCACTCCTACCACTATTTTTGGCTGAGATATACCGTCTAGAAAGTGGGATCATAACTTTCACCTTTCATACGGCTTTATTTGGTGATATTTTATGGTGTTTCTGTGTCATAAACAACATCAGCTATCATAATCACACCTGATTTCAATAAGGTACAATGTTTGAAGCTGGCTGAGTGTTGTTTGATCACTGACAGTACTGTTTTGAAACAGAGTGACCGACTTGTCATTTGGAGCTCCGCCTGGATCTTTTCATGGTAAAAACACTGTAGAATGGTCATACTTTGAGCAGTCTTCTTCAAATTTGAAACAAGTGTTCATTGATAGTGTGCCTACAGCCCCACAGTGTCATTTACCTGCTCAGATGAAGCCACAGACAGTTATTCATCCTGAAACACAATTTTTATTTTATTTTAGGCAAAATCTTCAACTTTTTACTGAATTCAGAGGCCCATTACTCTGTCTCTGTATCACCTAGAGTGTTTCTGACACTTTCACAAGAAACTTCAGGGAGTTTTCTTTCTGGCAAGACCTCATGCATGCATGTAGTCAGAGCGGTTCAGAAGCTACAGTCATTTTAATTTGGGTATGTTATTTTAGTTGTTTTTGCTACAAAATGGAGGTGGAGTGCAAGAAACCCTTAAATCAGTTGAAATCAGAAAACTTCTACTTTAACTGCAGATGAGTTGCTTTATTTTAATTATGCAGAAGCTGCACTTCTCTAAAATCTTGAGTTTTTATACCTTTTTCTCATCCCTACATGGTCATCCTTCATCAAGTCTCCTCCTTTACTGCCCCTAAATGGATATCCTACATTAGATCATCGGAAAGCATGAAGCTAGCATGAGGAGAGTCACAGATGGCATGTAGACATGTACTATGACAAACAAGTGCTAAGTGACTGAAACTTGGTGTCCATTTCTTAAAGTTCAGCACATTAGGTCCTACCCCCCAGCGGCCCTGGTCATGAGCCAATGTTTCACTGAGCTTTACTAATCTGTTAATCAAACCGTCTATTTTAACTCAGGTACTTCCCATTTTCTCCAGCCGTCTGTGCCTACTCAGCAGTCTCGGTAATTTCCACCGATCCTTTCATTTCCCTATTTATCCATCACAAACACAGATGCCATTAGTTCATGTTACATTTGCTATACTCATCATAAAGTTCACTCCTAAACATGTCTGTATATCATTAAAAGTTAAATAGTTATCAAACTGTACTTGATTAAACACATCCAATATAATCATGATATAAATCATTCTACTCATAGATTCTGATTCAGAGTCTATTACAGAATGAACTACAACACAAATCACTCATCATATTATACTGATTCTTTATTTTACCACTTTACCATTTTAAATCTCTTTTTCGCTCTAACATCGACACCCCCTCCACAGACTCCAAGGTTTCTCATTACTGAGAGCGATACTCGATGGGTCTTGGATATTCAGTGGGGCCCTGTAGGTCAAAGTGTCGAGGTTTCTCTTCCCAGAAGACAGACCCAGGGTCATGGGTCACATTCTCAGCCCATTTCTGTTTCAGTGGTAACTTTACAGCTTTACTGAGACATGGGTGCCCTCCTTTGTCTGGCTTCAATCATTGCTTTTTGATAATTGCTCCCCATATTCTCCCATTTGCTATGCAGGGTTTCTCTCACCCTTAACTTGGCATCTGTTGCCACGATAGCAGCTTCTGCTTGGGTCTGCGTCAGCTCCCCATACGCTTCTTTTTCGTTAGATTCTTCAGCTGCTTCTGTGTTTTGCTCGTCTTGTGTTTGTGATTCAACAGGGCTGCTGTCAGGCCTTTTTCTCTTATGGAGGCATCGAGGCCTCCTGTAGACGAATTCGGCGAACAATTTGTGTATGCCGCCATCTTGCGGCGGCGCCATTGCTGCGGTGACATGTGTCAGTCATCAATTCATTATGCTGTCATTGTGAACTGACTCTCTACAATGACAGCATCATGAATAGCTGGATTGATGATGTTAGACAGTGGCCTCCGGTAACTGATGAAGGTATCTTAAATGAGTACCGATATTAATATAGAAATTAATCATTTGTTTGAGCGATAAGCAGGAAAGATTAGAGTAATAGGGAGATAATAGACTGTATCATTAAACACTGTGTAATATAACGTTAGCATACGTTACATGTGCTGACGTTAGCAAGCTAGCAGCGTGACATTTAATCATTATGGACAGGCTACGTGACCATCACATCATATATTGAAGGCGATCAATATTGATCAATATTGATCGCCTTCAGTATGATGTGATGGTCGTCTAAAAGGCGGTGTAAAATTTGCCCGACCCATCCGGAGCTCAAGTAATTTTGACCCTCAATCAGAGACCTGTAATTGCCGTTTTTCTGGTCATCGGAGGCCAGGCGATCAATAAAATATTCTTGAATACCTAAAACAAAACACAAACACGTGTTGTTGTTGTTGTTTTTAGTCACGTAGCCTGTCCATAATGATTAAATGTCACACTGCTAGCTTGCTTGCAGCTATTCATGATGCTGTCATTGTAGAGAGTCAGTTCACAATGACAGCATAATGAATTGATGACTGACACGTCACCGCAGCAATGGCGCTGCCGCAAGATGGCGGCATACACAAATCACTCGCCGAATTCGTCTATAAGGCCGCCTGGATTTAGCATCGACGTCCGATTTTCGAGCCACTTTGACAAAACATAAATGCAGAATAGAATTACAAAATATGTTTTCAAAAATATGCACAATACATCTTTTAAGATGGGAGAAATGTACCATTTTATTCAAGAGGGGGGTTTTATTTGACTTCTGTTTACTTTTTTGCGTGTTTTAAACATCCATATTGGTAGTGGTGAAGGAAGTGTTCAGATCCTTTTAAAAGTGCTAATATCACTATGTAAAAATACTCAGTTACAAGTCAAAGGCCTGCATTCAACATGTTACTGAAGTTAAAGTATAAACAGTATAAATATGGCACAGAACGTATAAAAGTCCAGCAGTACATCTACAGCAGCACTGATCTTTCTAACCTAAATAAAGGATCTGAGCACTCCCTCCCTGTAGACACACACACACACACACACACACACACACACACACACACTGATGACTAATTCAGGTGGAGGAGGTGCAGCAGCAGAAACACCAAACTAATTAGGTGTCTGAGACAAACGTCTGAGGTAAAGTTGCAGGACGGAAACACTCAGCGATGGACGTCCAGCTCACTGTGAGTATCTGCATGTTCACAATAATTAAACTCACAATGAATTCACTTCATATGTCACCTTACATTTCATACTTTGATGTGTTCGCTGCAAAAAAATCATTTCCTAAAAGTAGGTTAACTGGACACTTCTTAAAACAAGAATCCCGCTGAATGAGCTCGATTAGTTTCGTTTTCACTGAAGTAATACAATTTTCCTCTTTAGAAATTATTTTTTGATGCACAGAAATCTAATGTTGCAATGCAGGCCTTATTTTCTGTTAGTAAACTGAATAATTCTCACCAGTTTTCATTCTTAGATAGTTGAAATTTAATAAAACATGCAAATCTCTCTGCAGAAGAAGCCAAGAAAACTTACTTTGTAGTGACATTGATAATAAATTCTGCTGATTCAACTGCATCAGTCTGACACAAGGTACTGATAATTAACATTATGACTGTATTGTTTGGGCTGCTTTTTATATTACGTCTATTTTCCATTCATGTTAAGCATTTTGGAAAATATTCAGCAAGAATGGGAATATATTCAGTTCAAGGACTTGCAGGTCATGGGCTAAAACATTTATACAACATGCAATGGCCCTTTGAATCAATAATACTCGATTGACGCTTGCATTTGTTCTATTATTGTAACCTTGAGGTTTGAAAATTGAAGCAGTCGTTATTGTTTTTTTGTTTTGTGTTTCAGATCTGAATGTTTGACTATTTCTTAAATTATAAAACAATCTTAAAGTTCTATGACTGAGTAAATATATATTATATTAGGGTCTTTAATTTAAGACTTGAGTTACCTATGGCTAAGCCCCGCCCTCAAACGTGATGAGCCAATCACAGTGCGTATAGCCATTCCCATACACTGGGACATTCTCTGCCTGGACGTCCATTGAAATGCATTACAGAAATTCAGTTTGTTCGGTTTTATGAGCTTTTCCTGAGATTTGAAGTTTAAAAATGGTCAAATGGTGTGCATGGGGTACATGCAACTCAGACACAAGGTATCCTGAGAGGCTGGGCGACCAGGTGTATTTTTTACACTTTAAACCACATCTCAACTGAGAAAAGTGTCTCCTTTGGATAAAGTTGTGTGGTAACGTTAGACCACAACATCAACTCAACGTGAATAAGATTAA